GCCGCTTTCGCAAAGAATCCAGCTAACGAAAGTCCTGGCTTGCGCTTCGGCCACAAGCGTGTCGTGTCACATGAAGTTTTCTTGAGAGCACAGGTGCCTCCATGATGTCGCGATGTTCGTGTACCTTTCCTTGATGAGGGTACGCCGGGTACGCCGTTCACGTAGCAGGTCCGGCAAGTTCGGTTCGGATAAGAGACCGAATCCAACATCGTTTCTGTGAGAATCTTCTGTCTTCCATGCACTCACCACTTTTTCACAGGCGCGCTGAAGGCAGGGAGACACCAATCTGTCAAGGAGCCCCATCTTCATGATGCCTCCGGCAGAAGAAGGGCATGTCTCTGGCGGGCGGGTATTTAATGAGAGTCGCAAAACATCGCAGGGGTTCGAAACATCCGTGGCCCTGGCCACTCGTGGCGCGCGGTGGGGGTTTCAAGGTTTCTTGCTCCGGCCTCGGCCGCCGATCGGCTTCTGGAGATGCGCGGGCGCGGGCGTTTGGTTCTGAAGGAGATGCCCCTGAGCAGCGAAGCTATGCGAAGCTAAGGAGCTGATGAGGAAGGCAGCAACATCCGCCCTGCAACAACCTCCACTTATCAATGCATCGCCAATCTGGTTGCAGGTGGACTATCCAGTCACTCATCGATACCCGGAAGGTGTTGGGTGCAGCTTCTCCCACAGCAGTCGGTTTTGGGCAGTTGCTCAGAAAACATGTTGAGACTGACATGAACTATGCCGGGACCGTGCCACCTGAAATGTGCCGCATGCTCCTTGCTCCGGGAGCCTGCCGCAACCCTGACCTTGGTGGGATCGGAGACGTCGTAGCACAGATTGCTCTTGGAAATTGGAAGGGTGAATCGGTGAATCCACTTTAGCTGTCTAACTATCTTTGGTGGTTGATGCAGCCCAGGAGATGGTGAGTGACATTGACATGGACGAACCAGCGAATTCCAAGACAATGTCATGCGCTCACGTGCTGCGCTGCCTCCAACAAGTAGTTTGTTTGCGCAACAGAGGGCTGGCATGTGCTTGGTTGTGGGTGATCGACATCAGGTGAAGACCCGACGCACAGGAGAGCACGACAGCATCATCAACCTCCTGTCGCAGAGATGCTGTGGCCGTGACAGGAGTGAGACTGTTGCAGCTGTTGGACTCTAAAAGGCAAGCCGCAAGCCTTCTAAAGAGCGGGCTTGTCTTCTGAGGGCGAGGTTTCCCACGCTTAGCGGCTTAGCAGCTAAGCAGGCGCCATCTCCTCGTCTCCATGGGTTCGTTGACTCTTTGAGTGCTGGGGCCCGTCCTGTGCTGAAAGAGCCGCTTGTGTCAATATGAGCATCTGGCAGAGGTTGATGCAGTCAGGAGCAGGTCATGTTGATGTCAGATGCGAACATCAGTGTGACAGTCTAACCCCTCTATTTAGCACAGCCGTGTTGCACTGGCCTGACGGGAATCGCGCTACTGGAACCTTCTCAGCTGTACTCTCGTGTGATTGGCGCAATCGCAGCTTCTAGCCCAAGCAAGTGCCAGAGCTTGCGGAGTGACGCGATGTGTATGCAGTTCAGAAACAGAGGGTTACTGCAAACGCGTCAGCATTTTAGCAGAGGCTGACGTAGCCTGCCATAGCCTCAATCCGGTCACAGTGACAGTGCGAATGTGCTACATTTCAAGGCTGCACGGCGTTGCTGCAGTGATATGCACTGTCCGGGCACGAGATTGACCGGGAAGCTCGGAAACAGCGTGCGGTCAGCTGCACGTTGGTGCGGTTGGCCCAGACCGCAGCCGCGGCACTGACTGCTTTGTCTGACAGATGGCGGAGTCACAGAAGCCAAGACATGCTAGCAATCTGAGCTTCTGGCAAAGGTTGATTCGGCGCGACCCACCACGAGCAGGGCATGTTGACATTTGCTTCACGGTGTCACGGCCGTGTTGCACAGTTTCTGGCCACTTGGGCATGGTCATGTTTTCACGAAGAGTGGGGCAGAAAGGCACTCCTGCAGCGGAGGCCTTGACTCTACTGGAAGCATGTGCGACAGTTTGCAAGCTTGCAAAAGCCGCCGCATTGCCGAGAGCAGATACTGCTAGTGGCAATATGAGCTCGCGGCAGAAGTTGGTGCAGCTGTGATTTGGGTCGGTTGAATCTTCCGCGTGCGTACTGTCAGTCAGTGATGCAGTAAGCTGCGTTGGTATAAATATGTTAAGTCTGCAGTGACAGGCCAGCACTTAACTTGATCAGAACTCGCACGGTTCGCACGCTGCAATGGTGTGGTTCATCAAAGGCAGAGCTCGCCCAGTGACCCCGGGCAACTGTGAGAGCTTGCAGAGTGACGCGAGCTTTTGCGGCTACTTGTATCATCTTGAGCATCCCGTATAAACTTCGGAGCTGGAGAGCTACGTTGCGCAGTGCGTGGCAGTAAGACTTGTTGGGCTTGCACATGCTAAGTAGTGCTCCAGAGGTGAACTGGAACACAGGAGAGGAGCAGAACAAGAGCAAAGCACTCTTGAAGTGAAAGGCTGGGAGACGGAGCAACCATTGCGGTGAAGTGTGAGGCTCGGCACGAGGGTGCTTAAGCCCAGGATGTTGCAGCCGTAGATGAACAGGAGTCGTTAGGGTTTCTGACGACCCGACGCCATCAAGCGGCCAGACTCGGAAGGTGTGCATGCACTTGCATCCAGGCAGCACGTTGCGGCGCTCGGACAGGCAAAGGATCGTCCTCGCTTGGCAAGGTCGTGGCATGGGTTGGGTCATTCGCGGTGAGTGTCATCGGGTCAACCTCAAGAAGGAGGGCACAACAGGACCGGGTTGAAGTAACACATCGAATTCGGCCGCGCGACACTCCACGTTGTCCATCTGCGCTAGCCCAACAGATTCGTTCGGGCCCAATCTTGGATGGCCAGCATGACATCAGGTGTCTCTGCGCCATATTTGCAACGTGCTTGCGTGACACTGTTTGGTGTTGAGCGGGGTGCCTCTTTGCTTTTTGTCTTGTATGCCCGCGTGCAGCTCGGGCCATGCTGAGGGCTAAGTCATACTCACAGAGGCGGCGAACCCACGATTTCGAGGCTAGGTTGCGCAGTGCGTGGCATTAAGACTTGTTGGGCTTGCACATGCTAAGTAGGGCTCCGGAGGTGAACTGGAACACAGGAGAGGAGCAGAACAAGAGCAAAGCACTCTTGAAGTGAAAGGCTGGGAGACGGAGCAACCATTGCGGTGAAGTGTGAGGCTCGGCACGCGGGTGCTTAAGCCCAGGATGTTGTAGCCGTAGATGAACAGGAGTCGTTAGGGTTTCTGACGACCCGACGCCATCAAGCGGCCAGACTCGAAAGGTGTGCATGCACTTGCATCCAGGCAGCACGTTGCGGCGCTCGGACAGGCAAAGGATCGTCCTCGCTTGGCAAGGTCGTGGCATGGGTTGGGTCATTCGCGGTGAGTGTCATCGTGTCAACCTCAAGAAGGAGGGCACAACAGGACCGGGTTGAAGTAACACATCGTTTGCGTCCCAGATCGTGACCAAAATCTTGCACAGACTTGGGATCCCTACCTACAGGCAGGCTTTGGCTCGCGAGGCAAACGCTCGACCCAGGGTTTTGCAGCGAAAACTGCCCTGCTTTTCCGCTTGACCTAGCCGCACGGCACGCTTCTCATCTGCAGCTTTATTCGGGCGCAGCTTGGCCAGCATGACGACACGCTGTTTGTGTTGAGCAAGGTACCTTCTTTGCACCTTTTGCCCCCCGCTTGCAGCTCGAAACGGATGCAGCTCTGCAGAGGAACCACCCGCGTAGTGCGCGATGGAAGAAAGACCGATATGCCAGGCTGACTAGTTGTGAGTTGGTGACGCGTTGCTATTGATCGAAATGAGGGTCAAACGTTTCTCTATTCTTCCAAGCGCATGTCTTCTGTCATAGCAAGATAGCTGCTGTGTCCAGTGAGTCATGCAACAAGAGTCACAGCCTCCGACAGTAATGGTTCCTGCCCAACTGACCTGCAATCATACAGCCGTGTCTTATCTCTTGTTGGCAACTCGGCTCATGGTATTCGCTGTTCCGGGACACGGTGGTCTTCTGCACCTTCGTTACCTAATGGTCGAGGTTGGTAGATCGAACCACAGCGAGTGACAGTACGTGTACGAGAAGTGAGAACTCGTATATGCAACTTCTCGTGATTTATTATGAAGATACTGTCCCTGTTGATCCGTCCATCTGCCACATTGCCAAGCATGAGCGGATAATAGGACGCAGGCGCCAGCATTTTCAGCATAGAAATTTGAATCCGAACTGCATAAAGATTCTGCCTGAAACTGATTGACGTCCTGGCTGCGCCTCAGTTCTACCTGCTTGTAGTTGTGATCCCCTTTTAATTTTCTTGACACGACAGACACTTCCTTTTCTGGCCAACCACGTAAAATGCACTCCTAAGCAGGCTCAGCCAGAGGTGCCACAAAGACGTACTGTACCGGACTAAGTGGCTGCCAACCCTACAAGCCATAGTAACTCGTGCCTGCAAGATGGGAGAATCGAACGGTTTCATGCGGTTTTACACCTTAAATGAAGCTGCATCCGGCTACGCATCCTGTTAACATCCCAGATGGGACCGCTTGTCTTCGTAAGTTCTTGTGCCATCGTTCGCCCATTTCCCACGAGAAGCACGAGATGCAACCGACTGGTTTTGATAGCTGTTAAGAACAGGCTTCTCACAGAGAGCCGTGACGGGACGGGGTAGACTTCGAACATCTCTTGTGCCTTCAATCTGACACCCCAAACCGACGAAACCTACTGTACATGCTAAGCCTCGAAGCAAGATCGAATTGAGCAGCATTGCGCTGTTTCCAGCCACAGCCTACGAGCACCTGAACCGACTGCGAAGCTTCGCAGAGCTGAGTAACTGAGTACTTCTGCAAGCCTGGCGGCCTAGCCGAGCGAAGCATCCGCCCAGCACAAACAGTGACAAACAGGGGGAATTCTTCAGTGCCGGCGCTGGTGGGCGTCGCTGTCAGCACATGGCTTGAGACTGCATGTCAGACGTGCAGCTGTGCGATGAGGCTTGGGATTCTGTGAAGGACGACGATGTCTCACCACAAGCTGTGCCTGTTCAGGTCACGAATGCGAAGCGTCCGGGGGAGCTACTGGCAGACAGGACTGCTTACGGCTCGCATCTGAATCTGTGAGTGCAGGTTCGTAGGAGGTCCAGGACGTATGCGCTTCTGCCTGGATGTAGAACACAACTGAAAACATGCAGCCTTGCGCCGACAAGGATGGACTCCCTGCACTGCGCGCCTTTTGACAGCCGCAGGCAGGACTCCCCGAGTCCCGGGCCAAGCTTCCAACCGAGGAACTTTGTAGCCTGAAAGCTGGGCCGTACAGAGGCATGATGCCAGCTTCCAAGCGCCAACGCCAGGAGCTTAGCTCTCGAACTCTCGAGTCTTGGCTCCGAACTGCCAGAGACATCGGTTTTTTAGGTTAGACGGAGATCGTGTTACGGTAGAGCTGCGTCGGATGTTCAAAGGATCACAGTGGAGAAACTGAATTCCATGCTGATTCATGAGATTTCCCTGCAAGGGGACATTACGTTTACACGGACAGATTTCATGTCTTTGTTCAAGGAGTGTTACGTGTTGCACTTGCAGAAAAGAAGTAACTTCAACTCTTATGGGATTCCAAAGACCCACACTGTTGTCAGCTCCTGTTCACCCCAGCCACATCGTTGAACATGCTCTTCTCTAAATGCACTCGTTTTTTCAGTGGATACCGGAAAATGATGATCGCCTGTATTGCATGTCTTTCAAACTTGCGAACATCTTCCTGTAAATGCTGAAGCCGATGTCCGTGTGAGAAGAAAACGCGAGGATTCCGACGTTGCATATTCAGTCCTCGCGATTTCCCCGTTAAGAAATCTCTGCTGTTCCCGAACAGACATCTGCTTGGAGCCAGGGGGACCGGACCGAGAGGCTGTGCTCTTGCGTGCCACTGAGGTGTCTCCCCACGCTTGCCGGTTCCCTCGGAGGTGTCCGAGCAGGCTGAAGGATGCACCGTCTGGAAGCTTACACCGGCACTTGGAAGACAACCGATTGCCGGCACTTCCAGGAGAAGGTGCAAGTGAAGCGCAAGCCAGCTCCGACTGGCGAATGGTCGCGACCTTATAGCATCACGAAGCCTAAGCGGTGGTGTCCGGAAGTGGCTGAATCGTGAGCCCAGGTTCTGTATCACGACCGGAATGCTCGAAGCTCAGTTTAAACATGCGGCATGCAGTAGCTGACGGGCAAAAGCCATCTCATGGAGTTGGCAGGTAGTGCTTTTCAACCCCGGCGAGAAGCCTGCCTTCCGCTCGCGTAGGCTCTCCGTGGACGAAGCACTGGCCTCAATGCTTCACTCGTTTCACTGCTGAGGAGAAAGGTCTAGGTCTTGACGGTAACTGCATGTTTTCTACACCTGAACTGTGCCTGGACTGCCTGGAAAACGAATGTATTATTTGGTCGACAAAGGCAGCGCCTGGAACCGAGTTGTCGAACCGCTCGGGACGATGCCCTCTCTGTGCGCCACCGAGAAGGTTCTTTGAGGGCCCTCCTCGCACAGCAAGAGGTCTCAGGCTTTCGGTCGTTCGCTCCCGGTCTAGCACACAGGTATTCCGCCTGCAAACCCAACACAAAACGTGTCACCGTCCCTTCCCCGGCGCGGCCTTTCCAAGGCAGGCAGACCGTCGACGCCCGCTTCGCGTGGAGCCAGCAGAATTCCAGAGAGACACACGCACACGCGCTCGCAGAAACATGCTCTCTCTCTCTCTCTCTCTTTCTCTTTTCTCTTTCTCTTTCTCTCTCTCTCTCTGTTTCTCTTTTCTCTTTTCTCTTTCTCTCTCTCGCCTTCTCTCTGTAGCTCTCTAACTCTCTTTCTGTCTTCATCTTCCCACTATGCTTTGGCTGCCAGGTTTGCGGCGCAAGCATACTTCGATCTCTTGCAAGGTGCTGGGGAATGCAGAGCGCAGCCAGTCAGTCAGCACGCGCGCACGTGTGTGTGTGTGTGTGTGTGTGTGAACCTCCCTAGCACATGGGAGCAGAGGGTCACTCCTACACTGTTTGCAATTTCGCTTTTCAACATAATCCGGCATTGGACATTTACCGAATCAACTATTGCAGGGGGACACAGCATGTCGCTGGGACTGTGTCCAACGAAGCTACCAGTGACATGGGAGGAGAGGACTGATCATCCTCTTGTACCTGCAAGCTGGGCCCCCTGAGGCAGCAAGATTAGAAAACGCTGGCCCCCTGAGGCAGCAAGATTAGTGCATTTACGGTTTTCACCTTTTGCTTGAGCACAAAGCCTTGCACGTTTGCCGCAATCTGACAAGCTTTTGCAACAACATGCCTCTCTTTTTCCTCTTGCACTCGTACTCTTGGCCGAATCCATCAGTGTGATCAGCGTGGGTCGTTGAGACTCCAGAGCAACGGCTTTCCGTCATGGCGCCGTGGTGACCCTCCGGGGAGACCGGTGATGAACCGGGTGTTCAGCCTTCGTTCAGATCGTTCAGAATCTCCCGATGCTACTTTATCTCTCTCTCTCTGATGCTCGCATGTGAGTCTGACATGAGTGCAGGTGCAGTAAGGGACGGCTAATGCAGTAAAGTGCGTCTAGTGAGCAGGTGCTACCTCTCTAGTCTGCCCCGTATTTTACCGCTTCTTTATTCCTCAGGGACTGCAAGGGCATGTGCATCTGACATGAGTGCAGACGCGGTAACAGTGTCTACAGCAAGTGAAACAGCGCTCTCTTCGGAGAGTACTCGGCCCTCTTCCTTCTCTCCGTCTACGACCTCTCAAATCAGTCCAGCAGGGACAATCAGGACAGCCTGCACTTTGCTTGTGCAACTGTGTTTGTTTCACCCACTTCGTTGCAGCTATGTGGCCGGATTATTTTGCCGCGCAGCCACCAGCAACACCATATGCACCAACAGCCCGACCGGTGCTGAATCAATTTCACCCGAACACCTGGGTACCGCAGTCACAAAGCTACCCAGCAATGATGCCAACTGGCATTGCTGCCACTCAGCAGCCCACACTGCCGACACAACCCACTACGATTCCTGTTGAGCAGACGCACAGCTTCCCCATGATGCCGTGTGGACACACTGCTCCTATTCCACAGCATCCGACGGTATATACACATCTCAGCACACCACAACCCCAGATGCCACAACAACCTCCACCCCAGCAATTCATGTCACAACACCCCCCCACGTTCTTGAACCCTGCTCTCTTGCCTACCCATCCAACAGTTTTTCCCACGAGCCCATCAACTCTGACACCGCATCAGCCCCAGCCTACCACATACAACCTTCCTTTTACACCACCTGCTCCACAACCCCAACCTGCACCTTGCAACATTCCTTCCACACAACCCGCTCAACAACCCCACATACCGCCGCCAACAACACTCCAACAAGCTTCACAACTTCACCCCACCAGTGTTACCACTACCGATGCTGCACACACTGCCCCGCAGACACCGGCAATGACTCCCCAACAACAACCAACAAACACAGCCAACACCCCCTCCGTCAGCACATTGCCACCCACACAACCACCCCCGGCTACGGGATCGGCAGACACTGACCAGCTCGCAGCACGTACTTCTCCCCACCACCCTCCGTTGCCACGCAGGCGACGGCGCACACCCACACGCAGCAGAACTCGCACCGTGAGCACTAGGCGCCGACGTCGCACACGCAGCAGAGCACGACCGGCAAGCAGCGGCAGACAGCACCGCCGACGCAGACACCACCGATCCCGCGACACTCGCAGAAGTCGTTCTCGCAGGGACACCAGACAATCTTCGTCGACACCTCCGCGGACCTCGGTTGTGCTCCGTAGCTATTCTACAGTGCGTGATGATGATGCCAACAAGTGGCATTACAGAGCCACACCGCCACGTCAGAGGCCACCTACCCCACCCAAGGTCCCACAAAGGACATTGGCCTCGCAGGTTCAGCGAATCGCCCTTCGCATCAAGGGCAGCCAAGCAGCACAACAGCAGCCCCCAACAGGCCAGGGCACACCCTCTCGCCAACAGGTTCAGCACAATCCCTCCAGCTCTATTCGGACACCTGCCCCGATTTTTGATGCATCCACAACTGCTGCCCCATCGGGTCAGCCAACCCTCGAACAACTGGGCAAACAGAGCAGACCACCACAGATTGATGTGGCGCCTTTCTCTGAGCTTTACGATCATGAAAAGCCGACCCCCCACGCTGTCGACATGGAAGAAGCACATAAACTTGCCAAAACCTTGGGCGAGATAGCTGCTGACAGCGATTTCAGGCAGGAGACTTTAGCCGAATTTGCACATGCCGTGCTACAGTCGGGCACGCGATCAGCGTGCAACGAACTGGGGGCAACGCTGACGCCAATATCGGACGGCGTACATACTATGTTATTCATCCCGTGGGCTGGAGAGACTCGCAGAGCATTCGGCACTCGTGCCACCGACCCACCAGGGGAAACATACATCTACACCGCCGGACACGGCACGAGCATTGCAAGTGCCGCGCGCATAATGCGCGAGGACTTGGTCCGCCCAAGTTCAGTCAGCCATTGCTTCGACGACAAGTCCTATCCACCCCTTCCCTCTTGCGTCATATACGGGAATGCGACCCCAGGAGATGTATCGGAAAGCACGGTACATATAGTTACCGATCAATGTACACGGCGGCCCAAGGGCCAACAGGGAGTGATCGTCATCGGGACAATACGGGCTAAGTATCAGCATTACAAGATGACGTATCGGGACATGTACAGAGAAGCTTTCATCGTGGGGCGAAAGGGTGTCGTGCGGACCCCAGAGAAGTGGGGATTCCACTCGGGGCATTTCAGCATCGTTGGATTCGGCCTCATTCAGTGATGTTGCTTTCTTCTTTTTCTTCCGTGTCTTCATTTCACTCTCGAGTATATTTTCTTCCAGGCCTGAATCCCGTTGCACATAGCTGTTTGCAATCAAGCATTTGCTCCGACACCGCTTTTGAGCCAAAGAAGAGTCGATGCAGCTGCATGCTGGATGCATCGCACAAGTTGATGTTGACACTCAAGCCAACCATGTTGCTCATGCATGTTCCATGTGCAGCTTTTGCAGTCACAGGCAATTGTAGTGCCCCATTGTGCAACCATGTACAAGCCGACACAACCTCAGTGGCATACAACAATGCCAACAGGCATCATCGGTACAGCAATCAGTACGGTGCAGCGACAAACAGCCTCGACCAGTAGCACCCCAATGCACCCGATCTCCCCACCACCAGGGATTCACAACATCCCACCACACACCTCACCCCTAACCCCGACTACTTGGGGTTCAGCTCACACTTACAGCCACAACCCCACTTTCCCACCTTTCCCTCCACCCCCTCCCCCACCCCAGCAGTTTCCCGGCCCAACATCACCCACCACACTGCCAACCCCCACACCTGCCACTCCCCAACACACA